ATATAATATAAAATTCACACTATATTGTATTTAATTTCTATCCACAATTTTTGTAGGAAGCTTGATTATTGACAAAATTGTTGGCTATGTATAGTTGGTAAGTTCTGTTGCCCTTTCACGATCGAGTCCGGACATTCTTTCCTGTTGTGAATTTGTTGTGAATTCACTGAAATAGAAAAATATTGAGAACATATTTAGAAACAGAGAAAGAATTATAACGAATTATCAAATACATAATATATAACCTATCTGTAAATAAAAAGCAGTAAGCACTCCAACCTGAACATTATCGTATTCAGCAATATATGGACAATGCTGCTGATACAACAGAATTAACAAATATTTCACACTTCTTCGTATTAGCATTATCATATATTTTATAGTATCATCATATCCCACGGAATGAATGAGGATTAATGAATACATGGTATTTGGTAGGCATAGTAGATTGCAATAGTGTGAACATTGTCATGTGTAAATAAAATGTATAATACAGTATATAGATTCATAAATACAGTATATTCAAACACTTGATATAAACATAATACTATAACTATATCTTCGTAGAAACATTTTTCATGATTTAATATTTATCGACTGATTGATTTAATGTATTCGATGCTCAACATGTACAAGCAAGATAAAAAATTGTGTAGAAAAATAGTAAAAATTAATAAGCATCAGGGCGTCAAATTTAAAGATATACGGTCTGTCATGAGCTGAAAGATTTAATTCCATAATTTAATATTTATATTTAAGTAAGTTATTAATTAACTTACAACTAAATATCTGAATGACAACATTTTTGGCTGTCTAATAAGATGCAGTCAAATAATACCTTTGCTATATTTATATATAATACACGACATCACGGAGATACATCCATGACGATATTGCAATCAATTGATAAGGACGGTGTCATTTGGGTCTACCTCGATCACTTTCGTTGTCCTTTAAAAATAATATGAAAAATATATATGTCGGGGTATAACAAATTTTTATTAGGTCTATTCATGATTAAAATTTGTGCACCAAATAATGACAAGATTCTTGATAATAAATTTCATACTATGCCAATTAGAAAAACTGATACGAATCTACAATGTAAACAACGAACGGAAGTTAACAAGCATCAACATGTAAATAAAGTTTCTTTAACCAGTTTCAGGAATTGTGTGATTTTAGCGAGTCACTTGGAATCAGTGTGTTGTTGTTGAATAAAATACAGTCATGTCAGCACATCTGTCGAGGGAATTTCAATGCCTTCAATGCCTAACAAATTTAGTCAAAATAATAACCATAGTATGATGACAGAATTCCCATTTAACTATTGAATTAACGATGCAAAATGTTCAATACTGTACTCACGTTTGTTATTAATAATGTAAAGTCTCCTTCGTAGTCTCTCAACTCCACATACAGCAATATTGTTTACATTTAAAACGCCACCTGGTGAGGTATCAAAACAATTCATTGTTCTTTTTCTAAAGCGCCATTCCTTTATGACGATAAGGATGGTAATGAGCATGGTGGTGGTTATGATGTTATTGATGATGAGTATAATTATGATAATGTTGATGGCGATGACGACGGTGGTGGTTATGATATTGATGATGATGACGATGATATGAAGGTAATTTTTATGATGGTAGTGGTTGGGATGATGATTTTGATGGCAATGATAATGATAATTTTTGATGATTATGATCAGGGGCGGATTTAGGGGATGGTGGGGGGAGGGCCAAGCCGCCCAACCCCCCTCCACCACTCCCTCGGAAGGTTAAAAAAAAAAGAAAGAAATAGAGGAAAAGAAATCATTGATCGCCGAAAACGCCTCAGAGGTTATTTTTTAATTTCGCGGGGACATGCACCCCGGACCCCCTAGGGTAGTGTTATATCGATCGGCCCCACTTTCGGCCCCCTTCTCTGGATCCGCCCCTGATGATGATGATTATTGATGATGATAGTAATGATGATGATGATGATTATTGATGATGATAGTAATGATGATGGTTGTGATGGAGATGATGATGATGATGATGACATCGATGACGGTAGAGATAATGATGATCATGTTCATGATGGTGGTGATGATGATGACTGTAGGATAAAAATCTACTTTTTTAATTTTTTTTTTTTAAAGGAAACGACTACCAATGGACTTCTTTACTGTACATGAATTTCAAAGAAACAAAATAAATTAAAAAGACGCTTGGTTTAATACACTCCAGGATACAGATTGATGTTACAGTTTCCCTATTAATTGTTCTATAGTACTAATTCCCAAAATGTACAAGGGCATCAATTCGAGGTTTTACGGTACCGTAGTAAATACGTTTATATACAGTATAAGCATAATTTATTAGTTTAACTTTGATTTCTATATATATGTGACATAATTTTAATGAGTTACTTTGTTTTGGGTAAGATTAGAATAGCTTAGATTTTAATTAAGTATATTTTGAACCCGAGTTGTGTAAACTGTGAATGCACCATCATGTGAATGAGTGTCGCTTTAAAAAAAATAAATTTGACTATACAGTATTTCATTTACTGAAAGAAAATCATTTTTGTAGTCTAGAACTTACCAATGTTGTGTGATTAATTTAAGAATCCACTGAAAGTTCAGCGCACAGAAATGTGTGTAAATAAAAACGCACAAGCACTTGTAATATATATTATCGTTATATTTATTTGGAGAAAACACACATAGCTTTGCAACAGCTAATAACATAAATGTAAAAAGCATAATATATTTTTAATACACTCTACTACACTAC